TTCGGCCATGGGTCACTGACCACACAGGAGGGCCTTCACACCCTTGCTAGCCTTCACCCAGATCCAGGCAAGGGCATCGCCTAGATCAAGTGTTGCGGCCCTTGCTTAGATTAGACCCCCTCACTTGGATCTGGGTGAGAGCCGCAAGCCTTTGCCTTGGCCAAATTAAAAAGTTTAGTACAAAATTAGCAACTATAGAACATGTTTATGACTTTTTGATCAATTTTTCCTCACCCAAATAAAAACCTATTGGTTCATAATAAATTTAAGGCAATGGTAAGAATGTGACAATACCGACTCGAGCCGTGACATCCCAGGCCGTCATAAAAACTATGAGGCTTAATTATCTGATTTGATTAAAAATGCAAGCGGAAGACGAAAATGTAAATCAGACATAACAGAAAAAACATAACAAACAGCTCTTATTTATCTTTTTCTTTAGGCGATTAGTATATTTACATCACAAAGGAAATGACAAATGGGAAAGTAAGGATCTAGTCTACTCCTTCTACCAGCTACAAAACGTCACATCCACGCATGTCTTAAAGCTGCCATACAAAAGCTCTAGGAGACTACCCGCCAGCGGCCATGATGCAGCTCAAACAAAAAGGGACTGCTGCATCAACACCTGGCCTGATCAACCACCGGCAGCAAACCTCCTCACACTCTCGCAAGGGAAGGGAACGGTTCCAAATAGGCGACCATCTATGCGGAAGTAGTCCAATACGAAACAAAATGGCATCCGTCCTAAGGGGATAAAGCAGTCAACCCAGACAATGGTCGAGTGGCGTTCCCACACCACTCCAGGTATGACAGGATCGAGACGCTCACTGAGCAATCCCTCGATATCTAGTACCGAACCATATGTGGACATAGGTCTAGTGGGTGAATGGAACGCCATGCTAATGGTCTGAAAAACATGAAAAGTAACAAGAGTGAGATAAACTCAGCAAGTAAATCAAGTCATGACTATTCTATTCAAACAGTTATATCACAATTAAAGAGTCTACCACAATATCATCAATTTCCGTCATGATATGAATAATGTTAATATGTATATGAGAATGCATATGATATGTCCATGAATTCCCCGCGAATGCCACTCTCATTCGTAACCATCGATTTTAAGAACCGATCTTCTGCAGACCACATAGCAGCAGGTGTCTTGCTCTTACTCCGAGATTATGCGACTTACTTACGCATCTACCACCGAGACCACACAGCACGGCCTCAAGGTATAACGGCCTTGAGCTTCCCGAATTCCCTCGCTGGCTCCCACAGGGCATCACTGGTACTCCAATTGATGGTCCTCACAGTAATCCTCATAGTGTAATGTATATGGATGAAATGATGGAAATGCAAAATGTCAACTTCAATACTCGACAATTATTATATCAATATCGTAAATAAGATACGATCGACAATAGTCGAAATAATCATTATTCAAAGCGTCCATGGCTGCACCACCAGCTGCACCGTTTCAATCTCGTCACCATCGAAATTTTTTGGTGTTCTCCACATCATTAAGTTCAGCATAACTAACTCACGAGAGATATTAAAAGTTGTAAAAGGCATGTAAGCAATAAAAGCTAGCCATGTAAAGCAAATCACGTTCATCATTCTTGTACAGAACCACTACACGACCTCATCGTGCCGATTTAACTACGAAACAGTATTTTCACTTCCTCCAAATTAGCACCAGCCGAATCATCAACATGAATGGCTACCGTCAGAATTTCCGTACCAACGAAAAATCACATTTTTCCATCGTCTTTATAGCAAACCACCTCGTTGTCACAAAACCACTTCATTTCGAAACTTCCACCAACGTTCACGAGTTTCGCACGATTACCAGTCGGCTTTATGTACAATATACAATCCAAGCTCCACCTCTAATCATAACATAAAGGGTTGACATGAAGAGAAATGGTGAGAATACTCGCCTTAGATACGATCGTAAAGCTTTGTCGTTCGTCTTTCTTGAGGTATGCCGGAACTCAAGCTTCAACGGAGAGGAAACAAGCGAGATCTCAAGAAGACAAACGATGAGGAAACGAGAGTAAAGAGAGAGCACGGTGGAGAGAGGTAGTTCGGTCGGTGGAGGAGAATAAATGAAGAAGAAAGAGAAAAAGAAGAAAGCCATAAAGTCAATACTCATTATCATTCTCAATCAATGCAACTCCAAATATTATCTAATACAACATATGGACTTCAAAGATTATCAATTGAGATAAGACAAAACACTACAAAAAAACTGGATTTTTGCCACGAAAATTTGCGACGAAAAAATTTTCGTCGCAAATTTGCGACAAATTTTCCAACGAAAAGTAAATTCGTTGGAAATTTCCAACGAAAAATTTTTCGTGGGAAAATTCGTTGGAAATTTCCAAAGAATTTTCCCACGAATTTAAATTTTCTGGGCAATTATTTGAGTGTGTACAATTTTCGTTGGAAAATTCGTTGGAAATTTCCAACGAATTTTCCAACGAATTCAAAAAAACCCGGTATTGTTTGGCATTTTTTTATATTCGTTGGAAAATTCGTTGGAAATTTCCAACGAATTTTCCAACGAAATTCAATTTTCCGAGCAATTATGTACAATTTTCGTTGGAAATTTCCAACGAATTTTCCAACGAATTCAAAAAAACCCGGTATTGTTCGGCATTTTTCATATTCGTTGGAAATTTCCAACGAATTTTCCAACGAATTTCAATTTTCCGAGCAATTATTTCAGTGTGTACAATTTTCGTTGGAAAATTCGTTGGAAATTTCCAACGAATTTCAATTTTCCGGGCAATTATTTCAGTGTGTACAATTTTCGTTGCAAAATTCGTGGGAAATTTCCCACGAATTTTGCAACGAAAACCCTACTCCTTCCTTATTCAATATTTTCGCGCTCATTATTCCCGCAACTCTCAATTTCCACATTCTCTCTCTCTCTCTCTCTCTCTCTCTCTCTCTCTCTCTCTCTCTCTCCCTCGCTTTACCTTCTCCCTGCGCGTCCCCCTCCGCCTCCTCCCCCGCCGCCTCCCCTTCTCCTCCGGCTCCGGGTCCGGCTTCGGCGCCATGGACACCAAGATTGGGGCCCTCAACTCCTGCAAGCCCCCCTCGGCCGACGTCGGCTCCCTCCCCAAAGGCGTTGCCGCGGCCATCCAGGGCCAGGCCCCCGCGGCGGTCGGCGCCCCCGACGCCACCATGGGCCGCCACCTCGCCCACCGCCTCGTCCAGATTGGCATCACCGACGTCACTCCATCCCCGGCGACTTCAACCTCACGCTCCTCGACCACCTCATTGCCGCCGCCGGTGAGCTCGAGGTCGCCCAGATCTGGGTGAGCTCGAGCTCGTCGGCCATGGCAAGCGTTCTGGGCGAGCTCGAGCTCGCCCAGATCTGGCCGAGTTTTGGGCGAGCTCGAGCTCGCCGGTCATGGCGAGCTCGGCCCTCGCCATGGCCGGCGAGGCCCAGCCTCGTCGCCGGCGAGGGCTGAGCTCGCCATGGCCGGTGAGCTCGAGCTCGCCGCCGGCAAGGGCGATTTTTCGACTAAAAAAAAAAATTGGAAAAAAAAAATTTGAAATTCGTCGGACGAATTATTATTGAAATTTTTTCGTTGGAAAAAAATTTCCACGATTTTTCGATCAAAAAAAAATTTTGTAGTTTTTCCAACGAATTTAGCCACGAGTTTTCCAACGATTTTTCCAACGAAAAAAAATTCGTCGCAAATTTCCAACGAAAATTGAAATTTTTCGTTGGAAAAATTTGCGACGACGAATTACCAACGAATTTTTTTTCGTTGGAAAATTCGTTGGAAATTCGTTTTCCAATGAATTTTTCCAAATTTTTCGTTGGAAATTTCGTCGGAAAAAACATGTTTTTTTGTAGTGAAAGAAATGAAGGGGAAGAGGGAGAGAGGTCGGCGTGAGAGAGAGAGAGAAAGAGAGAAGAAAAGAGAAGAAAGACCTTAGCCCAAAAGTTATCATTGCTCACACATAATTGGACTCAAAACTTCTTCAATAAAGTAAGATAAGAATCGAAGGAAGAGAAGAGAGATGGGTCCTGCCGTGTGAAGGGGAGAGGAGAGAGAGAAACTTTCTTGACTAAGTAATCATCACAACTCAAATAATTAGACTTCAAATTATATCAAATGAAGATTATAAAGTGATGAGGAGAGAGAGAGAGACAAAAAGAATTATGGTTTTGTCTCCTTGAATTGGACTTGTGGAGAAGATGTCAACTAAGAAACAACAATCAAAGACAAAGAAGAAGGTTGGCAGCAGCAAGGACAAAGAGAGGAAGGGGGTCAGTGGATTCCAAAGAAAAATAAAGTTTTACTTATAAATGGCCTTTTTTCCTAAAAATACTCTTGAAATTTCCAAAATTTACGATATTTCCTCCAAGCCATTTTTACTCGCTAACAAACACCATGATCCAAAAACGCAAGGTGCCACCATCACTAGGCCCTTTAGATTCCACGCCACATCAACAGAAATTAAATAAAGCTCGTGCACCTTAAAATCACAATCATCACAAAACCGATAATTCACAAAAGAAAGGTAAATAAAACATGAATCAATCACCCAAAGACTATTTCTCAATAGCCATTGCAAAATAATATTTCCAAATGTTATTCTCTGCGCATTAAAATAGGTGAACCAGAATCCAGATGTCACAAAGAAAGACAAATAAAATTTACTAAAGGATAAGTACAATTGATAATTTGTAAACAATACAAAATAGTTAGTATGTTCATAAAAGTGTTGATAAGTTACCAACAAGTTATTAAGTTATCATGTAACTGATAATTCTTTTTATCAACATCTTTTTGACACTTCTCAATTTTATCAAAAATCATCCAGGTCGGAGAAAAATCATTTTTGGGAATGAAACTGTTGAATCGTCCCTCAAAGAGTTTTTGCTAAGTAAGCTTGGGTTTTTGCTTTTCCAAACTATGCATTATGGTACGGACAATAACAAATGGAGGGATATGAGAAGCTCTTGAATTGATATACCCTAATAAATCATGTAAATCACAAGTCAAGAGAATTCCGGCTGATCTTATAATTTGTCCAAGGGACATGATCATGTACATTGATTAAGGAATTTGTTATTCACTAGTACCATGTCTCCACAATTGATGCATACATTATTGCATATGCACATAATTAAGTGTATCTGCATCATGTCTACAAATTAACCATGTTTGTCACAAATTCTTGGATGTACTTATCGGAAGTACCTCCTTCATCTACTGCTTCTCTAGCCATCTCTTTCCACCTCAATGAGTTTTTCCTGATCTCTTCCCCCTTCTCTCCTTCCATGATATCGTTCACGCAACCTTGGATTTCTTCTCCAGCCACAACCCTGTGCTCGTTAGCCCTAACTCTAAGGCCGACCTTCCACACCTCAACGATGAACGTGGCGTTCGTCGGCTGGTCTGTCCACTGAGGCATCACCAGCATGGGCACACCCAAGCTCAGCGCTTCAAGCGTCGAGTTCCAACCGCAGTGTGTCATGAAGCAACCAACTGAGCCATGACTCAGCACTTGGAGTTGATTGCACCACTTCACCACTAAACCCTTATCATCGATTCCCACATCTTGAAGGAAATTGCAAGGGAGCTTCTTCTCTTCCGATTCTCTCACCACCCATAAAAAGTTGCTCTTCATTCTCTTGAGCCCGTTCGCTAATTCTTCCATTTGATCTTCTCCGAGGGAGGCCAAGCTTCCGAATGATACGTAAAGAACAGATTTGGGTGGCTTCGAGTCCAACCATTTGAGGCAAGCTTCTGCTTCGGGCTTGAAGAGGCTGAGTCCGTAATCTTTGTCATCTTCGAGTCTCTTGTCCAAGTAAATAGACGGGATCGTCGGTCCTATGGTCATAATCGACCATTGATTCTCCATCCATTTCACGATCTGCTTTCAATAAATAAAGGCATATGCAATTTATCACTCTAGATATTGCTCTTATGTAAATTGTTTCATTTTCATTCAACTAGCATCTCATGTATGCTAGATTTCTCTTTTCCCCCTCTTTTAAAAGTAATTCTTGAAAAACTAAAATCCTCTTACAAAGTGATACTACGATACTTGTCGCATGTGTTGATATGATTCACTTATTTATATAATCACTCAAAATCGAACATACAACTTAGTGAACCCACTTTCTGAATCAGACTAGATATCCCTAGCACTACTCTGTTCTTTAAAGGAGTTCGGGCCATGTATGATTTGTCAATTATGTAATACTTACCTCCTCCTCGAGCTCAGCAAAAGAATTGAACAAGAGCCACTTGGCTCTCCGAAAATTGGAGAATTGGCCGAGAACGACCGAGAGCGCGGCGGGATATGAATTGACGTCAACAACAAACGAAGGGAAATCATCTGGCCCTAAAACTGACATCACCGGAGGATCAGAGACAACATGCCCTTGTCCGTGTGCAGCTTCCAATGGGAGCTTGACCGTTCCTTGGTGAATCATGTAATAAATACAACTAACGACGCATGACTGCGTGAAGAACGGAGCTCCATGCATGCCGTGTTGTATTGCTATGTCCAAAGCCCAAAACATGAAGGAATCGTAGACAAGTACTTTGGCGGGCTTCTCTTCGCGAGATTGATGTTTCTGGATGAAATCATTCAAGCTGTGCACAACCGAGACTCGATAGTGTTCAAGAGAGTCGTCGAAGCTTAGTTTCTCCCTTTCGACGTCGTCAAATCCGTCGGCAATGTACACGACATTGATGGAGCTTGAATTCACCAAATTGAGGGAATTCTTGGTGGAGATGGGGATTATGAATGTGATTTTGAGACCCTTTGAAGCTAAGCGTCTGGAAAATTGGAGCATCGGGTTAATGTGGCCTTGTATTGCATATGTTAAGACTAACACATGAATGTCATGTGGCCTGCACATTTTTTTTTTCTTTGTGTATGTCTCCCACCCTTTCTCTCTTTTGAATCTATGCACTTAGGCAATTATGATCACTCTACAAAGCTCATATTTATACACATTAATAAGCAAAATGAAAAAGATAAAGAGACCTATAGATGCCCATAATCCATGGAATGGTAGTTGCTCGTACTCGCTCGCATTGGTGATGGGTATACATCGACACGTGATGTTTCAACTGTTTGTTGGATTTTGTCCTGTACACTAGCGTATTCCAATTTTCCTAAGGTACTGGATTTTAAATGCCATATACTTCACTGATCACGTTGAAGATCAACCCCAAATTTGAATCATATCGCAAAAAATCTCCACCTTGATGAGCTTTCCCATCTAAAAGAAGTCGGGAAAAGTGCCAAAAAAGTCCTAAACCTTTTGCATTAGTGCCAATTTAGTCCTAAACCTTTTTTTGATGCCAATTCAGTCCTAAACCTTTTGCATTGGTGCCAATTTAGTCCTAAACCTTTTTTTGGTGCCAATTAAGTCCTAAATCTTTTAAATTGGTGCCAATTCAGTCCTAAACCTTTTGTTTTGGTGCCAATTTAATCCTTCCGGTCAATTTTGACCAGAATTTGCCGACGTGGACGTCGGCCAGTCACCGGCGCCGATGTGGACAACTTTAATAATATTTTAATATTTTTTTGAATTTTTATTTTTTTTCCTTTTTTTCTTTTTTTTTTCACTATTTTTTTTCACCGGCGCCGACGTCGCCCGGGACCGGCGACAAGCGACCGGCCAGAGGCCAGAGGCCGGCGAGCTCGACCTCGCCGACCACTGTCGAGGGCGGCCTCACCCGGCGAGGGCGAGCCTCGCCATGGTCGGTCGAGGCCCGACCTCACCGAATCTGGCGAGGTCGACCCTCGACCGACCATGGCGAGGCTCGCCCTCGCCGCGGCCTCCAGCGAGGGCTCGAACCTCGCCTTGGTAGGGCGAGGCTCGACCTCGTCAGATCCGGCAAGGTCGGGCCTCGACCGACCATGGCGAGGCTCGCCTTCGCCGTGGCCTTCGGCGAGGGCTCGAGCCTCGCCATGGTCGGGCGAGGCCCGACCTCACCGGATCTGGCGAGGTCGAGCCTCGCCCAGTGACCTCGCCAGATCTGGCGAGGTCGGGCCTCGACCGACCATGGCGAGGCTCGCCCTCACCGGGCGAGGCCGCCCTCGCCAGTGGCCGGACCGGCGACCGGCCAGAGGAAGGAGGGAAAGACCAAAAAAAAATGAAAAAAAAATAAAAATTCATAAAAATATTAAAATATTATTAAAGTTATCCACGTCGGCGCCGGTGACCGACCGCCGGCCGGCCGGCGTCCACGTCGGCAAATTCCGGTCAACATTGGCCGGAGGGACCAAATTGGCACAAAAACAAAAGGTTTAGGACTGAATTGGCATCAATTTAAAAAGTTTAGGACTTAATTGACACCAAAAAAAGGTTTAGGACTAAATTGGCACAAATGCAAAAGGTTTAGGACTGAATTGGCACAAAAAAAAGCTTTAGGACTAAATTGGCACTAATGCAAAAGGTTCAGGACTTTTTTGGCATTTTTCCCAAAAGAAGTCCTATCCTAACATGTAGAGTATTTTGATCGCCTTTTTGCGCATAGAAATAATATCTTTACATTTTTCATCCAAATTTTCCAATACAAGTCATTTATGTCAACATGCTTCCGACGTCTTTGATAACAGTTTCATACGCTATGAAAATGAAACTGCTACAAGCTATTATTGCAGCTAAGCAGAGAGGCGTGTTACCTACAGGTCAAGCTCCAGATCAATTGCTTTGCTTAAAGTCGTAAAACGTGATTTCTTGTTGGCAAGACTAAGAATAGCATAAGTTTCTTGCCGTATGTTAAAGATCAATTTCGGGGAGAGAGACAAATGAAGAGGACACTTTGCCTGTGCCATAGAGTGATATTCGATTGGCAATAAATATTTGGAGACTGGCAAAAACATAAAGTATATGACATCATGGCTTTCGGAAGCAGGAGAATTGCTCACTATATATACGATAGGAGGTAAAAGACATCGAATCAGTCCATCTTATTTTTATACATTCCCCTATGGAACAAGAGCTAAACACAAATACCGTCTAGGATAGTATAATCCACGCAAGCAACTTTCTACAGGTGTCATCGTTGATTTGAGTCGTAAAAGTGGATGGATGACCGGCAAAAAATTCCTAAATTATTGCGCTAATTCAATTCTAAACTTTTTAATTGTGCCAATTTAGTCCTAAACAATTTTATATTTTACCAATTGCTAACGAAGACGCCGATCGTCCTACGTGGCACAGCCGGTATTGAAGTGGACATTATTTAATAATATTTTAATAATTTTTTTGGTTTTCTTTTCTTTTTTCTTTTCTTCTTTTTACCCTATTTTTTAAGCTAAAGGCCAGCAAGGGTTGCCGGCCGACCCTCACTAGCACTGGGCCAGGGGAGGCACCGCAACCCTCACTAGCCCGCAGCAAAAAAAAAAGTCAGGAGAAGAAAAGAAAAGAAAAATAACCAAAAATATTATTAATTAATGTCCACATCAGTACCATGTACGTCGGCCGGTGTCAACGTCAGCAATTTCCACCAAAATTGGTCGGATTGATTCAATTGGCAAAACTTGAAAAGGTTTAGAACTAAATTGACACGATTAGAAGGTTTACTAAATTGGCACTAGTGCAATAAACTTAGAACTTTTTTTGTAATTTTGCTTTGAAGATGACTATGGTTACTCTTACTCATGATTAGGGTCAAAGAAAAGACGTCACAGTCTGTTTGCTACTTACTTTGTTTCCAGTGGTAAGTTTGGTAAATGTGGGTTTGAAGTTATGTTGATTTCACTAGTTGCTCATGATTTGTTATATATTAGAATATTGTGAAAACAAACATCGCACACAATATAAAGAGAACAAGTAAATAAATTTTTGGATACCGAATTTATATGATTCGGTCGCTGTGATCTATTTTGCGAGGATAGAAACACAAAATTCCAGTATTAATCAAAAAAGATAATGGAGATTATAACCAAACTTGAGCCACTCAAATAGTCTCAATACTTTGCAGCTTCAAATTATACGTAATACTATCGCATAGTATTTAGCTTTCACAATTTATCATGAAACGATCTATCTTACAAAGAAATAGACCTCTTATCAGAAATATTTTTCCTACTTCTGTTACAGAAAGACTCGCGGATCTTCACCAGGATGTCATTTACGCGAACAGGGCTGCACGAACTTGGACTCTTTTGTTCGCTGCCACACGCTGCACGCACCAAGGCACTCACATCAAACCCAAGGAAGAAACGTATATGGCCATAGAATAAGGAAATTCGTGTTTTACTTGTAAAAGTTCGTACTCCCGCCAAGCTAACTTCGGACACTGGGCTTGCTTTTGAACATCGCATGTTCACAACGTCCATTTCGATTCAGGTCGTGCTTCATTTGTGAATTCGAATCCGAGACATATCTTGAAGAACTTCCACTCTAACTCGATGTTAGAGTCATGTTATAATTGTTTTGTCAAAACCTGAACTTTCCTATTACTCTCACACGACCCTTCGTAGCTCAATCGTCATAGATATCTTTTGAGTTCAAGCTATACTTAAATTTCGCCACAACCATAGACCTTGATTGAACGCAAACTCCACATGTACTTTAGCAATTCCACAAGACTTCTCAGCGGCAACCTTCTCTATCTAAAAGAAAGCAAAACCTCCATTGCAACCATATTTGTCAGGGATCGAATTCGCACCTTATTAAACTAAACAGCTACAACAAACTTTTGCTCTACATTGTCTACCTCGAGCAGACATCGTCTGTGTCAATTACCGAGTTAGAACCAGCTCCCTTAGAAAGTACTTGTTCCAAGTCCACCTTAAGTTGAACACCATCCAGCAAACCCGTATAAACACTACGACAATACTCTTCTCCAAAAGTATTGGAGACACTTCAAATGCAACTCCTCTGCTAATAACTGGTGAATTTAATCCCGAGCACCACAATCAATACCTTCACTCATCTTGTGTATAGCCAAGAAATATGCACTTTCTTACATTCCCATCAAACTTACCGTCACTCACTCGAGCATTATACAAACAACCAAGTATTCAAAGAGCAGATTAATCAGCAAAGCATTACTCACACACTTGTCCGAGTAGCTTGTCATACTAAGCACTATACCAATTCTAGTGAGCATTTTGTAGGCCGTCTCTAGTAGTGTCAACTTATCAACTCTACAACCTGTGGTAGTTCAATGGCACTAGTGTGATGTCTCATTATAACCTCCTCCAAGCGATGTTCGTTCAATAGCTCCAAGCCAAACTCCATGCTACTATTGGTTTGCACATGTTCAATTGTCTTACCAGTCACCATTTTGATCATCATTTGCATGATTCTAACAATAGCATCAAACTTGTCCCTCAACGGAAACACCTGGATCCTCCTCAAATAGTAATAGATAGTTGTTAGCATAAATCTGGAACATTTCCAAAAATGAAATCGCAACAATCTACAACCTCTAGGTGAATCAATTTTGCAATCTCCATGGTTTCTTTATAGTCATAATAAAAGAATTTTTTACTATTTGTTCAAGTTAAAACACCTACATGCATTTAGTTCCTCAACCACATGGCAAATTCTTTTCACTGAAAACTTTTAGGCTTCTCTTGCTAATGTGCACCAAATACATACGCCATAGTTCAAACTTTTGATGCATCCAATGCCTCCACAATGAAATCTAGCACTATCTTTCTTAATGCTCATAAGGCATGGTGTTTGATTCCTCTCATTATCACCATAACACTACAAATCACCTTTGAAACTAAACCTTCTTAATTATATGGACAAAACCCTGGGGCACTCAAGGAAATTAGGTTCTTTTTCAATTCTGGAATGTGCCTCACAGCGGTCATTGTTCTCATGATACCATTTTGTATTCTCATCCTAAAATCTCCAGAACTCTCAACATCGCACTTAGTAATGTTCTATAGTTGCATTTTACTATAATTTATGCATTGATAAGTAGTAAACCAATTCCTGTTTGATGTAACGTGAAATGAACAACCATAACCCATAACCTATCCATAAAACTACAAATCCTCAATGACAAACAAGACATAATCTTCGACCAAAAAAAAAAAAACAAGACATAATCAACATTATTCAAGTTACCATCAAGTGTTACAACAATATGATTAGTAAACCCAACTCTAATTCCCTTACCATTCCTATTCTTCAGCTTAACCAATCCCTTTTGAGATGCCCTCTATTGCCACAATTCCAACAAACAACATCATTGATCTTCGACTGAGTACGTCTGTTTGGGTTTACATTAATACTACTAACATGCGTATAGTTTTTCCTCGACTTTCATCTACTAAACCAACCGGCATAGGTTCATTAGACTTTCTTCTACAAATGTCCATACTCGGATTCAAAATCGCAAACCTCATTATACGTCAAATTTCTTGATCTAGAGGAATTATTAATAGCAGTAATAGTCGTATTCGAATGAATTCTTCAGACTATTTTTAAAATCCGATAAACAAAATCAAAATACATACATCATCGTCAAAGTCAATCTCAACCAAACTCAATTAATTAGGGCGTGTATAATAACCATTTTCTTTCTCTATTTTTCTTATTTTTTGTTCTTGGGAATAGGTTTGGAACAGAAATCCGTTTGGTAATGCAATTTCATTTTTTTATTTCTGGAACAAATTTTTAGTCCAGAAATAGATTTGAAACATAAATGAGAAGTAAAATTTTATACTTTTCTATTTCTAAAACAAAAAAAATAAAAATAAAAACTATTTTCATTGCTCACCCTTGCTTCTCGCCATCAGCCGACTGGTGCTGCCCCTACCGGCCTCCCTTCAACCACCACTACCGCCCGTCCAACGACCATCGCCACCCCTCGCCACCGGTCGCCTCTCGCTGCCGCCAGTCAATGAATGGGAAAAAGCATAAGAGGGAGAAATTTTGTGTCGTTATCAAATGAATTTCTATTTTAGGAAGAGAAATTTTGTATTGTTATCAAACATGTATCTCTATTTAGAACCTCGTCCAGGGATTGGAAATAGAAAAATCTATTTCTGGCTAGAAATCTACTTTTAAAATAGAATGATTATCATTCACACCCTTAATGACCACGTTAAATTCATTGATATGCTCAACAATCACACCTTCGTTCATCTTTAAGTGAAAGAGACGTCGCATCAAGAAGACCTTAATTGTTGATAGCGGAGTTCTTCTGATACATGTTCAACTAAGCATTCATCAATCCCGCAATAGTTTTCTCATTCCCCATATTAAATGCGACATTACGAGACAAAGTTCTGCTGAATAATACTTAAGTGTATCTAACAAATCCTAATCAGCTTGTATCATAAACTTTGGCTTCTCCTAAGACAAAGGTAAATGTTATTTCTTTGGTACAAATAATACTAAATTTACATCTTCCAAACACCAAAATCATTCCCATCAAATCTATCATGCCATCATTTGCTTCAAGTTAACCGAGCCTAGTTTTAATATCAATTGTTGTGAAAACGAGCAATCAAACACAATAAGTAAGACAAGGAAATAAATCGAACAGCTTTTGGTTACCGTACTCTACGGTGAAAGCTATCGCAACCTTCCCAAAGTGAATAACTAAAGGAAAGCTAATGGATTACTAAGCAAACACTTAGCATGAACTCTCCTAGGCTCATATCAATCTCAACTTTAGGATTTTAATTAAATCATCTAAACATACAAACCAATTCAATTTGGAGTCGCCACTAATCTATTACGGATCTCTTAAAAACCCAAGTAAAATTTGGGAGAACATTTTACTTCTGCGAATCAAAGATTTCATGAATATGGGAGTTTGGTTATCTAGAGAAATCTAATGCCCTTTTGGTACATTTCCTTTTTATTGTAAAAATAGTTTGCAAGCAGTCTTGGTCAATTTTAATCTTAAACCACCAACATATAATAGGTGATAATCTTGGCGTGCAATCAATAAAGTAGCAATTAATAATCAAAACAATAAATAAATTGTAGAAAAGAACCTTGATGCGTTACGCAAAGCACAAGTGAAGCTTTAATGTCATCTGATGCACCAAGTGTTTTGCAAAATGCTAACTAAAGAACAAACAATGGTGCGATGTATGCATGACCTAGGCTAATGCTATTTATTTTTTTGGGGTTTTTCTTTTAATGGATGCAATCTTAGTCTAAGTTATATCTACATGAATTCTAAAATAAACTAATGACATGTGACATGAACTTAAATACAATCTATATGGACCTAAATCTAATGACAAGCAAAAGAATAGTGAACTAATTTAACATGGCATGCAACTTGACTTACATGAGCTTAAGTATGTAATCACTAAATGGATATATGACATGGATATTGTGATGTGGATATTACGATGTGGCTATAATGATGTGAATATGATAACATAGATATAATGACATGGATATGATGATATGTGATAAATGACATGAAATTCATGAAATTAGTTCTCTATACGAGATATGCACGTTATATATTTGTGATTTTCTTTTAAAGCTTACTTAGGAAACTACTAAAAGTATAAGCACCACCACCGAGGTCCCGGGCCCAACCTTGATGGACCTGAGCACGAAAGGGATCCGATCCTAGACATGGGGACCTAGCCACAGGCATTGGGGTAGCTAGCCCAGGTGTCGGTGACCCAAGAATGAGCTTTAGGGTTCCCATGCCCAAGCACAGAGTTTTTAGTCCAAATGCCGATATCTAGTCATATTTTGCAAAATGATTTCCAATTTTTTGAAGAGGAAATCGCTTTCCTGAATTTAAGCATAGGTTTTTTGCTAATTGAAAAAATATTTTCCGTTGACTCATTTTCCTAAGTAATCCAAACTCCGAAAAATGAGTAAAATGTTTTCCCGATAAAAATTTCCGCGAAACAAATGAAGCCTTAGTTAAAGACTCGTACCACATACAAACTTTAGGTCTTTTGCTTTAAAATTACTAGTAAATGTAATCACTCTGGTTAATACCTAAATTAGTTCTTCTATTTGAATAATGTCAAAGCTATTTTTAACAGGTGACACTGCGCATATCTTGAGGTTGTCATTGTATGTGCACTTAAAATTCTCAATCTTTACAACTCCACGATATGATAGAGTTTTTGATAATTTTAGTTTTGTGAGATGAGAATGAGGAGGCCTCGTAACTTGCAAGTAGATACGTCCTGACTCGCTGAAAGTCATGCAACAGCCTCTGATTCTTGGTCGTGGAAAAACAAAGCTGTTTACTCTTAGACCCCAAGAATTGGCGTGGTGATTAAATCATGCACTCTATCTGAATGAGACAGATTCAATATTTAAAATCACAGCTTAAAGAAGTTTTAAAAGGTATGTCAGCCGCTTTATTGGTGGTGCCACACTAGATAAGTTGAGTCGAATCTTCAGAGACTAATTATGTTGTAAATTTAAAATATTATTCTGAAAATAATATTATAATTCGATGGAGACACAACCATGTACATCAACTCAGAGAGCTTATTTTTCACAATCATTCCACGTGCACATGCATCATTTGCACAAATCAACAACGTTCAAGACGAATTCTTGAATTTTCTTATCCGAACTACCTCCTTCATCTACGGCCAATTTGGCCATTTCTTTCCACCTCAGGGAGTTTTCTCTGATCTCTTTCCCTCTCCCTCCCTCCATGATCTCGTTCACGCAACTCTGGATCTCTTCCCCAGTGACGACCCCTTTGTTGTCGGCCCTTACCCTGAGGCCGACCTTCCACACCTCCACAATGAAGGTGGCATTGGTTGGCTGGTCCGTCCACTGGGGCATCGCCACCATCGGGACCCCCAAGCTGAGCCCCTCAAGGGTAGAGTTCCACCCGCAGTGGGTCATGAAGCAACCGATCGAGCCGTGGCTCAGCACTTGGAGCTGATTGCACCACCTCACCACCAAACCTTTGTTGTCATCATCTAACCTTACCTCTTGCATGAAGTTGGGTGGGAGCTTCTTCTCTTCAGACTCTCTCACCACCCACAAGAAGTGGCTCTTTATCGACCTGAGCCCACTCGCGAGCTCTTCCATCTGGTCCTCTCCCAGAGATGCCAAGCTTCCGAACGATACGTAGACGGCGGACCTGGGTGGCTTCGAGTCCAGCCACCGGAGGCAAGCTTCTGCTTCGGGCTTGAAGAGGCTAAGTCCGTAGTCTGTGTCGTCCTCGAGTCTCTTGTCCATGTATACTGAAGGTATCGTGGGTCCGACGGTCATCATTGACCATAGGCTCCCCAGCCGATTCACCAGCTGGGATTCAGTGAACAAATCAATTAAGTTAAGCGCACGGTATTAACTCTCTAGTACTTGCATCCTTCGTACCCAAAAAATAACTTTCATCCTCGCAATAAAATACATTTTGTTTTTGTCGACGTTTATTTTCATGTATGCATGATATATTATTTACACGTCTACTTGAAAGTAACAAAAGAAGCTAACACTATCATGTATATAGGTACGCGCCAATCTCATGTCATGAATTTAAAAACAAAGGTATATCTTTATTCTAGAAATTAGCTTTATTTCAAGCGCGCAGTATCTCTTTTTTTCCAGTAACAGTTAACAATCAAATTCGAATTAATAAAGTTTCTTAATGTAATGTAGTACCACAAGTTTATAAGGTCGTAGATAATATGTGCCGAACTTGGTCATTGCTTTTTTTGAAGTTCAACTATTTTTCCCAAACCATGGATACTATAATTTTTTAAATGATTGTGACAATTAATGAGTAATTTCAGGATACTTATTGAGCGTGCTTAAAAGGGTTATTCAATCTTTAATATATTAATCACACATAATACGAGAAAAAAATATATTAAACATTACAAATTCGTTTATTTAGTTACTTAATAAGTTTGTGGGACAAAAGTCTTCTCAAAAGTCAATTTAGCCATACATTATTCCCGGGCGATTGGAATCTACTTACCTCCTCCTCAAGCTCAGTGAAAGTATTGAACAAGAGCCACTTAGCTTTCCGGAAATTGGAGAACAGCTCTAGAACGATCTTGAGTAAGCCGGGATATTTATCAACTTCAACAACAAATGAAGGAAAATCCTTCAGTTCTAAAACCGACATCACCGGAGGATCAGATAGAACACAACCTTGTCCATGTGCTACTTCTAATGGGAACTTCAGTGTTCCTTGGTGAGCCAAGTAATAGATCCAAGTCACGACGCAGGACTGGGTGAAGAACGCAGCTCCATGCAGGCCGTGTTCTATCGCCACATCAAGAGCCCAACGGTCAAAGGCATCGTAAATAAGAACTTTCGCCGGATTCTCCTGACAAGATTGGTGTTTCTGAATGAAATATCTCAGGCTTTGAGAAACTGAAACTCGAAAGTGTTCGAGAGACTCGGCAATGCTCAGCTTGTCTGCATCGACATGGTTGTACCCGTCGGAAATGTACTCAACCTGGATGGAGCTCGCGTGTACCAGATTGAGGGACTTCCTGGAGGAGATGGGGATTAGGAAGGTGACTTTGAGACCCTTTGAGGCCAAGCGTTTGGAGAATTGGAGCACTGGGTTTACGTGGCCTTGTACTGGGTGTGCCAAGACTAGAACTTGAATGTCGTTTGCCGGATACATATTTTAAGCTGTTTAATCCTCAGACGGCCTCTCTCTCCACTCGATGATACTGAATGATGAGGCGATCCTTGTTATATACGAACGACCAAATGCAGAAATAATCCTTGGAATGGTAGCTGCTTGCAGTGGCATTATTGATGATGGGTGGTCATTCACACGTGATATTTGAACTGTTTGTTGAAGTTAGGCTACATATATTCTTCATCTAGATAGAGTGACGTGCCTCCTGTAATTCGAGTGAACCCACCAACGTCCCCCATCAACGAATTGAATTTTTCTTCCATTTCTAGTCAGGGAATCCTTCCCCCAGACATTTAATTGGTCATTTATCGTTCTAACTAGCGTCACTCACATGTAAATCTATCTTTTTCCAAAACAAGCTATTATTTCAGTTAAGCAGAGAGTCACAATACCTACTGGTCAAGCTTCAAATTGAATGCGTTGCTTGAAGTTGTTAAAAATGATTTCTTGTGGGCATTACTAAGAATATTGGTTATGTTCTTGCCGTCCGATAAAGGTAGATTTCGGCGAGAAAAGACAAAACCTAATATGTAATACGGCAAGCAAAGTGGACACATTGCCAGTGCCCATGAAGTGATATATTTGATCGGCAATAAAGAGCTGGAGACTGGCAATAACATAATATAAATGACATCATGGCGTTCGGAAGCAAGTAAATTGCTTATTATATTCAAAGAGGAAGTAAAAGACAAGGTTGTCAGTCCATCTTTATCCTTTGTGCATTTCAGTATGGAACGGAAGCAAAACACCAATACTGACTAGGATAGTTTAATGCACGCAAGCAACTTTCTGCATGTCTCATCGTTGATTGAATTTGTAAAAGACAATGAAGGGCTTCTAAAGGATGACTATGGTTACTCTTGCTCATGATTAGGGTAAAAGAGGAGACGTCTTAGTCTGCATGCTACTTACTTATTTTCAAAGGTAAGTTCGATAGATATGGGGTTGAAGTAATGTTGATTTCACTAGTTGCTCTTGATTTGTGATATACGTAGCATGTTGCTCAATATGGGTTTGAAGTTAGGTTGATTTTACTAATTGCTCATGATTGGTTATATAGGGAGCATCAACCACAATAATAAACAAAAACGGAAAATAGATCAAACACCGAATTTAGACGGTTTAGTTGGTATAACCTATTTTACGGGAAGAGTAAAACATGATTTCACTATAAATCAAGCAATACAACGAAAATTACAACCATACTCAACCCTCTCCAGCACTCTCAACATTTTTTGGCCCAAATTACACTCAATCTCACACTGTATTTAACCCTCACAATTTACTATAAAGTAATTTGTCAATCTCATAAAAAAATACAAACTTTATCACAAGATTTTTACTTTTTCTTCTGCTACAAAACATTCACAAACATTCGCCAGGACGTAATTTACGCAAAGACGTGTGCCATCGGCGATTTGCCTCGCCGGAAATCCGATGTGGACAATATTTGGAAATTTATTTAATCTAATGTTTCTTTTTTATGATTTTTTATCCTTTTTTTTATTTTTATTTGGCCAATCTAATTTGCAGGTGGGCATGATAAAGAACTTCATCATCCCCATGGTTGGGGTAGTGTAGCATCTAGGGATTTTGGCTAGCCGAGCCCAAATCCGGCGAGGACTCCGCCACATGCCTCGCTGTTCGAGAGTCCCAGTGATTCCTCCTCGCTCCCCTGTCATCATCGCCAGTCCCTTTTGGCAGTCAATTGTCGTTCGCCTCGGTCCATCACCCGCCTCGACCTTAGATCTGAATTCTCCTTGCTACGGTGACCATCCCCTTCGGCGCCAGCCTTCGCCATTCGGAGGCATGTCAGAGACTCCGAGAAGAAACCTTGCCTTCCCGACCACATCTCTTCCATTGCTGGTCGCTGGCCTGGGTTTTGGGGCTTCTGGCTTGCCGGTGGTTGGTCGATGAGTTGTTGGTCTTGACGCTGGTCGTTGGTCGCTGGACATCAGTCGAGGTTACTGGTCGGGGCCACGGGTGAGGCCACAAATCTCACCTAGATATGGCGAGATTGTTGGTCGCCGGCTACGAAGGCCCTAGGCAGAGAGTTTCTTCTCATGCCACGCATAAATAAATATGCATTCGATTGTTCTTGATGCTCGAAGCAGTCAAGTGTGTCTTCGCTGAGAGTCCACAAAATAAAAGCACCCCAGAAACTGAATAGAGATTTACGAATATGAAACAGTGATTCTTGCCACTCCTCTCCCCTAAACCCAAGCAGCCACGACCAGATCCAAAAGAAAACAAACATAAATAAATTTGTATTTTATTTTGTGTCGGCGAGGGTCATCGGACCCTCACCGGTTGCAGAGGCCTCGTCCAGATTGGGGGAGGGCCGCCTCACTCGCGGCCAGTGATAGCCTTGCCGAGGTTAAGGCAGCCCTTCCTCATTTTGGGCGAGGTCTTTGTGGCTAGGGAGCGTCACTAGGGACCATCGCCGGCACAAAAAAAAAGCAAGAAAATAAAGAAAAATTAAAAAAATTCACGTCGGAATAGAAAATTAAGTAAAAAATCCACGTAGGACGATTTGCAAGAAATGGCACTCAAATGATCGATTTTACTCCGATGTGGCACTTAAGTGAGAGAAAAAAAAAGTTATAGCATTCAAGTGAGCGCCATAGAAGTTATGACACTCCTGCTGTTTTTATCTCAAGATTTGTACGATGTACAAACATTAGCTTTCTTGCTTTAAGAGCACTAACATACGTAACATACTTTTTTGAATACCCATGTTGGCTTGGAGGCTAAAGCAGGCTCCTTATTTAAATGCGACAATTATATTTAAAATCACAGCACTTAAGACTCAAAGAAGCTTTGAAAGCAACGTCCCCCGTTTAATTGGTGGAGCCTTACTTGATGAACCTGAAGAAGGAAGGTTATACATCCTCACGAGATGTTGAGTTGTATGTTCATTAATTAATAGTGTTGTAAGGTTCCGTTTGTTCCGCAGAATTTAACATTTCTGAAAAATATTTCCCTAGAAATAACTTTACATGAAAAATAATAACATTTTCTAGTGCTTGGCAATAGGAGTGAGCATGGTTCGAGTGAGGCGGTTTCCATCTTGGAATCGACAACTGCCCATTAATGACGGTTTCTGAAAAATTGAAATCGGAAGCCACTCGTTAATTCCGTAGATCCACTCGGGAACCGAACTGTCATTCCAGTCCGATTCCCGGGTGGGTCCATGGAACTCGTCCCAATCCCTAAAAAACTGCATTCATCAATCAATACCATGGTGAACCTAGTTTCTATGTTAGTACTTCTTCGGTTTCATCACACAATTTATTAAAAAAAGTACGGATTCTATGTGAACACAATGAGACAAAATTATTCTCAAGGGAAGCAAGCCAAAAGCCATAATCCAAAGAAACATTTCATGACTTCATCTAATAAGAGTTTTCCTCGTAAGCTAGAATCATCGGACTCTATGCAAGCATGTTACTTCGATCCAATCCGGATGGGGGGTTCTAAGCCTGAAATCGGAAATCGGACCGGTACTCACCGATTCTAGTGAATTGGAATTGGGAACCGAGAACTAGACCGGTTCCCATGGAAACCGCCAATTATGGACCGGTCCGGTCAGGTTCCGAGTAGACTTGAAAACAAAATATTAGGCTTGGGAGTAGACTTAGAAAAGTTGAAATACGCTAAAACTGATTTCCTCAGTTTGGAGTAGAAAATTAGAAACCATTTTCTACGTGATCTTTCTCAATAGTGGGCCTCGCTAACACTTATCATGAGCTTTTAACCTGGTTTGAGCCCAACTATTACTCGTTTTTTCGGTTCCAGCTCGCTCACTCCTTGTTCTTTATTTTTTCATCTACTCTTCCCCCTTCTTCGTTATTCACAGTGGGAATCATACCTTAAATCCAAGCAACAACTCAACCATGGCAAGCCACACAAACTCAATCGACGCTGGAAATCATAGAAAGCCCCACTTCCCTACAATTCTAGATGACCGACCAACCTTGATTGGTGAAACTTCTCGCCTCCTTTCTCCGTTTTGTCATTGTTGATAGGTATGGTCTGGATTGCGAGCCTGGTTGTTTCAGGTGGTATCTGTGGAGGTAAATGGTTGGTTGTCAAGTGGTGGTAGAGGTTCATGACCTTTAATGTCTTGGTTGGTGGTGGCTATGGGTTGTGATCAGTGGTCAGTGGTGGCTGTTTTGCAGGTGGTGGACTGTAGTAAAGAAAATGGCGGTGGTAAACGGTGGTGATGGCTGTGAAATGGAGAATCCGGCGTTGGCGTCAAGTTGGATCTAGTTTGCTAGTCGACAATGGTGGTGAGATACAAAGAAGGTTGTAGTGACGTTGTGGTTTGGCGATGTGTGAAGTGTTGAGGAAAACTCCTATTAATTTTGAAGTTGACAAAACCTTCTATGTTATTGTAAATCTGATACTTATTCTGAACTATTCCAGGTCTGTATATTCTGGAAGCTCAGAAGAAAGTTATTCAGACTTTACAATCTGTCAAGTATATTTTTGAAGACCCACATAATCGAAGTTCTGAGATTCAGAAGCAGAAGTTATTCAGATGCAGATGCAGAAGTTATTCAGATGCAGATGCAGACGAAGAAATTATTCAGACGAAGAAATTCGTCGGACGCGAAGAAATTATTCGACGCAGAAATTCTTCGGAGACGCGAGACGGGAGTTCTTCGATGCGGGCGCTTGAGAATATCTTGAGCCTTGAGAATTCGAACGTAACACAACAGCTAGTGATCTGGCATGGATTTCACAGAAGGAATGTTCTGATTGTCTCAATCTGAATCAAATTGATTGACAATCAAACATCATGACAAGAATGCATTACAACGGACAAAGTTCTACTTATGGAAACCAAGATTCTGATTGTATGGGCAACCAGAATCAGCGGGATTCAGAATCTGTCAACCAACGGCTACTCAATCCTTACTATACAAATCTGTCCAAGGTAAAGATTGGAAGATGATCCTCTGAAAGCTGTCCAACGGCTAGTTTGGAAGCAGAGGAGTATTTAAGGAGATCAACGAGCAGCAGAAGGAAGTACAGA